AAAACTATTAAATTCATGCATTATTAATATTGTCATTAAGACCATGTATAATTTGTAAAGGAATTAAATAGTCTACAGTGCATGCATACATAGAGAACTGTGGTGCTGTGGGTAGTGTGTGGCTTGCGCTATCGGAAGGTTGGGAGTTCATATTCCAGTTGGGGATTGACGTAACTCTTTTAAGTCCGTCCAGCATCGATACATTTCGTACCGTATTTTGAAAAGTCAGCAGTAGTTGCCCAAACGGATCTGCTCAACCTTGCCATACGAATATGGAATTTTCCATAGCTTCCCCATAGCTGTAACAGAAGCTGAACCCTGCTGCAAGTTGATTGAGCAGGGAAGCGCAGACTTTCCATGTATTTGAAGTAGCCAATATTTGTTACGTGGATTAATTGATACTTGTAAGCGTGAGAAATATTTTTAAAATCACATATTTGGTTTGTTATTACGTAGTTAAGAGCAACTATGAAGTTACTTACTGTTGGAGCAGCAGATTGATTTGAAGGGTTTTAAGTGGTATTTGTTTGGTGGGGGCTTGTTTGCTTCAACTGTAATTAATCGATGGCTGTGTGACATTTAATTTTACACGGTTAGATTGGAATGATGGATGAGTGACATTGGCCAGTCAGTGTCCTGCAAATATTTGGATCCGTAACAATATCATTATCCACGATCAATACGATACTACTCTTCACGTTATGATGATTACCAAGATATCAGTTTCCCTTAACCTTGTATTTCACATTGTATTGTCTCGTGTTTTGTTTTACTTTTATGGACTTCCAGTACAAATAGATTGCTTTAAAGTTCAACTACAATTCCCTCAACTTTAGCTTGCCATAAGTTTTTTTGTTTATAATTGTAACTTTATCATCTACAACACTTATAACACATGCTGCCAGAAAATGACGTTCTGTAACCTGCATGCCGTTACTTTGGAAAACTTTAACAAAATACATTTTAATAGGTAACAGAAATGTTCTTGGAACCTTAGTTGTAACTGAAGTTTTATTTGAGTTGTTTCAGAAATATTTTGTTCGTAAATTAAATAATGAAGAATAATTAAATGAGCAATCGTAATCATGAGCAGATGATATTTGGAAAAATGCCCTTTGAGGATAGTTGTGGATAGTATATCCTACAATATGTTGCGGTATTTTCCATATCGCGGCAACCGTAGTGTGTCAGATCATCGGAAAAACGTCGCCGCTGCCTTGGGGAGATGACACGACGCTTGACAAGATTCTGTAAGTGTCAGCGCAAGTAGCCGCAACTTTCAAATGTTTACTTTGGTGAAATCCCATCAAATAATCAGGGCACGGTTTCGTTTTTTTTTGACACGCACGATCGATCGATGTGCTTGGCAGTGCACAAGCAAAATAAGAGGCCCCCCTTGAGCTTCAACGCGTTCAGACCTGCTCGCTTTGGCAGGCGTTTGTGAAGCACGCACCTGGCGTGTCCCACTTGCCCTCCACGTGCAGGTTCCAACCAGGCTCCACCCCGATTAGCAAGCAGGGCTTAGTGAAATCGAGATCATGGCCAGCGCTGTTAATCATCACGGGCAAACGCGCAGATGTTTGTACGCACCCAGATACGCGGCACGCAGACGGGTGTCTTTTCGTGCGGTGTCGTGCCATGTGGTGAGCGCCTCAGAATCTTCATTTAGACTGGAAGAATCCGATGAGCTGTGAAGCTCTCTCACACAGATGTCCACCTATTTAAGGCCAGTGTGGCGCACACCGGGGGTGAGTGTTGCCAGCACCGTGCACTTCCCCCCGGTACTGATCTTTACACACCACCGTACGTATGTTGATCTTCTTTCGCACCGTACATAGCCAACCGCGCTAATCGGAAGTACTCAATTAAGGTCGAGTCTACTTAGGGGAGGATAACAAACACGTGAATGCACGCTTACATACAACAAAGCCGAAACAGGCTGCAGGAGCAAGTGCTGTTAGCGAGTAGCACCTACGAAGGCCGGCACGGTACACGAGGTGGGTGGGGTGGCCAGCACCACGCCCGACCGCCTTTGTCTCCCTCGTGGCGATGTTTACACACCGCACCAGGTACTTTATTTGAGGCTGTAGTAGACCTAGGGGGGAGGCCCAGCACCGGCTTCAGATAATCGTCACCGGTGTTAGCTGCGAGGCGAGCGGGTGGGGCGAGGAATCAAATTCTCGAGTCCGCCGGGTTCGTAGTAGAGCAGTTGGCGCGCTGACCGCTACACCGCGCACACAAATGCGTGCGTGCGCAAACACGACAACAGGCTTGAAGCTTTCGTGACTGCGGGAATCCATACTCTTTGGTTCTTTCGGTAAAGTCACGTAGCTAAAAAATTAAATAAATCACGACGTTTCGGGCGCAACACAAGCGCCCGTCATCAGGTGGGATGACGGACGCTTGTGTTGCGCCCGAAACGTCGTGATTTATTTCATTTTATACCTACGTAACTTTACCGAAAGAACCAAAGAGTACGACAACAGGTCAACAGGTGTTTTGCAGTTTAGCGAGCTTGCAGTGCTGTTTGCTTCTGAAGTGGCCCCCCCCCCCCGCTCTCTCTCCCCCCCCCAATTTGTGAAACAAGCCAGCGCTCTGTTTTATGATCGCTGGTTTGGAGAAGTTATGCGCAGCAAGAATGCAGCTCTTCCGGGCTTGCCGGTGAGCACAGATGTGCGTGTACAGTGAAGGGTTCGGAACATTGGGAGAGGTTGGCCGGGTCCCCCCCACGCTTTACCATCGGAAGCACGTCTCCTGTGCAGCGCGGACGGATTCTTTCCCGGCTCTCAAGCGGCCGCCCGTCTGGGAGCTTGCGCGTACGCGCGATCAAAAGAGAAGAGGGTTTGCCTTTTAAGCTGTGTTTGTGGCAAGGGAGCAGACTCCTTGATTGGTCGATCGTGATCGCAAGATTAGGTTTTTTTTTCACATTCCTGAAGAAACCACTGGCTGCAATGGAAGGAAATGTGTGTAGCACATTGGCGTATTATGGGTCTTCTTCCTATGTGGCTGCTGCACGTGACGAGATTCCGTAATTCTTCAAATGGGGACTTTGCTTAATCGAATGGGCAATAATTGAGTTGATGTTTCGACTGATAGCTCGGCTGGAAAGGAATTAAGATGTTTAAATTTCGATTTAAAGCTTTCGTGACTGCAGGGATTCATCGTCTTGGTTCTTTCGGTAAAGTCACGTAGAAGGGAAGTAATAAAAACATAATAAAATAATTCTCACGACGTTTCGGCCACAACGCAAGCAGCCGAAACGTCGTGAGAATTATTTTATTATGTTTTATTTTTATTATTTTATTACTTCCCTTCTACGTGACTTTACCGAAAGAACCAAGAAGAAGAATTAAGATGTTTGTTTTGGTTTGTACTCAGTGTGAGCCAGCTTAGTCCCATCGTTCATACCACGTCAATAAAATGTATTCCACTGTGTGTTGGGACGGCAGCAGTGGGCTCCCCACGATGGAGCTATGTAGAATTTTTGTATCGCGTTTTTTTTCTCTCGCGTGTACTCTCTTGCCGTCAATTGTTTGTTGTTTGTTCCATTATACCCTCAAGGTAATTCGCGTAACACTCGCCTGCGTCGGAAACAATTGATTCTTCCGCACAGCGATTGAATGCGCGATTCACATGCGACAAGAATTGATTTTAATTGACGATTTAACAAATCGTTGCACGCCCACTGAAGAGCACCGCCGCTGCACGTCGCTAATTTTCTAACACGGGCGCAAATTCAAATTTAAGGACAAAAGAGCGAGGTGTTTTAGTGCAGGCGGTGCGATAGCGCCATGGTGACACGCGTCGTTGATTATCATCTCTTTCATGCCCACGTAACCTTTGGAATGTCTTGAGCTCAGCGAAACAATGGCCGCGATTGTGGTGGCCGGAGTAGAAGGCGCACGAGGCACGGGCAGCAGACTATATCCCATCGCTTGTGACAGAATGCCCCGCTGTATCCCCTCAGTTATTTATCAGTAACAAGCTAACATGCAGGTGTAGCTAGCTGGCACGGGAAGAGTGGTAACACGCATTGCCCGCCCATGCACCGACGTGTACACAATCACGCGGACAACATAATATGGGCAATATTACGTCCGTTTTTAGTCGGTGCTTTAAAACAAGGCCGTGTGCATTCTCCATGCAGGATCGCGATGTCACCTGATGATGCAGGGCATGATGGAAAGACTCCTCCGTTTAATGGTCACATTTATACCTCGTGCTGTCGAGACGTGCATTATTACTGTCATTTGTTTCCAGCTTTCTCCGATTGTATGAAGCCTACACACTCACTTTCTGCCTGAGCTTTTCATTATATACAGAAAGTGACAGAATTTGTTTACAATGATCCCCTGCATTTGCCCATCGAGACCATACTGGCAATTGCTGTTGATTGAGCACCCTATTGAGGCCGACACAGTGTAAGAGTGATGAGTGCCGTGGTTGACACTATTCTCGGCTTTCTTTGTTGCCAAACTACTGCTGCTGTTTGCGCACTGCACCGGGGTACTATTTGGAGGCTGAGTTGAGAGGGGTCCATAACAGGTTGAGATAACTGATGTTGTTTGTGGCTGGGAAATCAAGCCTCGCATTGCTGGGTTTGTAATGTACTGAGGATAAAGATTCTCTGTATAGCCGTTAGCACATTTTTGGGGCAAGCACTGTCCGTGAGCTTGTAGCAAACTAAAATTAAATGTCCACTGGCATGTCTATTGCATACAAAAACTTACGACTGATGTCATGCATTGGTTAAGCTACCAAAGATAAATATAGGAAAATATAAATAAATAGCTTTTCAAACATTTTCCTTTATTTAACTGTGCAGATTAGCAAAGCGGAATTCATAAAGAAAACAGTGTTCTGCAATTATCATGCAACTGTATTTGTGTACTTGAATTAATTTGTGTTCCCTGTGTGTGTCTGCTCCCCTTATGTTGCTGCTGCTGCTGGTGACACCAACATCATTTCAACTGCCACCCACGTTTGGAAATTTATTTTCTTCTTCATGGCCACACATGGTTGGCTCTTTTTTTATATTATTTAATTCCAACCTGCCTCATGCCGACGCTGGACTGTGCTGTTTCACCACCGACAACACAGCTGCTGTGAGTACACGAATTATGGTCACACTACACATGAATGTGTTTGTTTGAGATGTGGGGAGAGTGGTGGCACAGTGGTTAGCATGCCGCACTATAAACCTAGCCCCAGGAATTCAATTTCTGGGCATGGATAGCATCAGTGGCAAGAGGAATCTAAAACTTTCTCGGCCTCAACTTGGAAGTAAACAATCACTGGAGAGAAAAGGGTGGCCATGTGGAGTTCTGGCGACACCACACTGTTCTACACTGAGCTGGCCTTAATAGGTGCTGCTAATAGCACTTTCCTCAAAAACCTGTAATGCTTTACGGATAATCTTTTTTGTTTGAGTGAAATGTGTTCGATGTGTAAACATCAAACATTACATGCCCTTGCACCTCTTGTTTGGGTGGATAGAGGGGTCTAAACTAATGTAACATGGGCTAGAGAAAAGAATCAGGTGAAGTTGCCGATGGCTGGCACCAGTGGTGACAAAAACGGCCTCTGTAGAGAAAAAAAAAGCTTGTGATAACATTACGTAGCGACCGGTGGCAGGTGCCCTCCTGCAACAAAAGCGGGCTAAGAAGTAATGCTTACAACAATGGGAAGTGTTAGGCAGATAAAAAAAACATAGTTTGGGCGGTGGGGAGTACATGAGTAACACATGGGTCTTCCCTATGTGACCCCTTATGTGAGGTCAAAGTGCGTCTCTTTCGGCCCAAGCACGTTGGTGATGTCACTGGCATGCATGATACAGGTTTTTTGGGTTAGAGTGCGTAAGTAAAAATGTGGTGTAAAAATGTCACTGCCGCTGAGTGACGAATAATGGCTGCTACATTTGTGTGCGTGTGCATTGGTGGCGGTGTGTGGTAATCATCGAGCACACTTGCACACATTTCGGCAACCTGAGTTCAATTCCTGGCCGTGCACGTCGGTGTGAATTGGTATGTATGTAAAGCCGATTCAGTTGGGTATTCCCTTGGTCACTCATCCCCACGCCTTAGTCTGCGAGTGCCCCGATCGGTGTGCCAACATCATCAAGGCTGGGCAGATAACAGCAGCTGCTTGTGTGTGGTACTGCCTGGTGCCGTGCCAACCAACATTACATTGTTGGTGTTATCGGCAGTATTACTGTTATTGTTGGCACGGGATGGCCTGTGAGAACCGGTGCCCATAGCCTAATTCACAGAACGTGAATATTACCCTCAACTGAATTTACAATATTAATAACCGTGTCTTTCGAGCCATCATTATTTGGTCTCCCTAGCGAAAGAGATACGGAATCTCAGCGGGCTCTCGCTCGGTTAAACAAAGGATGTTGATTCAGTCCAACTGGTTTTGGTCAAGCGACTTTACACGTTGCGGCTCGTTAAATCCATTTGTAGCGGCTTTTGCTGAGGATGCTTGGCTTTGGATTATTTAAAAATCGGTGGATACACCTGCACCCACTCGAGATAGACATCACAAAAAGTTACATCGTTTTTTACTGCTCTTTTTTCCCAGTTTTGCTGCAAAGCTCTCCAATGTGTTTTTGAGCTGTACAGAGCTGTTTGGCATGAAGCAGTGGTCCCCCCTGCCTTTTTGGTATTGCTACCCCTCCCAATCAAGACCACTGTTCCCCCCCCCCCCCGCCTCAGTTTATGAAGGCCACAGCACACTCAATATCACATCCACACTTCAAATCAATGCGGTGTTAGTAAGGCATTTGTATACCTGTATTTTGTGTTAGGGAATGCATTTGTTTTCATTGTTGCGTATTCGTGCGCTTTGTTTGCCGCAAAGTTCCGCTGACGTTCCCACGTGCGCATTCGATACTTCTGCATGCCTCGGCTTATGCCCTCCTTGAAGGGAGGCGGCGGGGTGGTTTGTTCCACGGTTTGAGAACCACTGGTGTAAAGAAAGTTGTATTGCTCAGCATGTCCCATTGGAGGCGCAGAAGCTCATTCAGCACTGGCAGTTACTCACCGTGGGAGCGCTGTGCATCACAATAACGCCTTCACGGCCAGGACGTAAATGTGGATGTAAATTTTCTCCTAAAGTGGCTGCGTGAGCCTTAACGCTGCTGTTGTCGCCGCCACTGCTGCTGCTGCTATGTGGTGTAAACTGCCCCCGTGTCTGCTGCTTTTCATGGCGGGAATTTGGTTGGTTGGGGAACACCATCTTTCATGAGAACCTCGCAATAGTACCTTTATGTATGTATAAAGGTGTCAGTTTTGTTGCCGGATAAAAGGGTAAAAACCTATTACTATATCTTGCTACGGGCAAAGGAGGTCTCATGATGTAAACCTCTCAATATTTAGCTTAATTTACGACCACCGCGATTGAAATATCTACGCTTGGTGAAAAAGTTCTGACTGAGCTGCACGGCCCGGGTCGTTTGGAGGGGGTTGCGTTCAAAGTTCGCCTCGGTTCCACATCGTGACGCCAAGGCTCGCCCCTCGCACGCATCACGGTGCACTGGTGATTGACACATCCGTTATACAATTATTATTTGTCTGGATTTAACTAGGTGAGGGACTGTTTGACATTCGCTGTAAAGTTTTTTGCAAGAAGTTTGACGTTTTTAAAAAGAAATTAATGTGTGGGGATTCATCTTCTTGGTTCTTTCGGTAAAGTCACGTAGAAGGGAAGTAATAAAATAATAAAAATAAAACATAATAAATCGAAATTTAATGTGTGGGGGTCAATTTAGCCCAACCCCTCTAACATCCCTATCTAATTAAGCTCAAGCCTCATGTTAGTCATGTGACTTGTGGCCGTCCCCCACCCTGCAATTCTTCCGCTCTCTCCGCTTCCTCTAAAAACAGACGCTGCTCTGTGCCGCAGCGTCTATGTATGTATGTATGTTGAACTTCTTTCGCACGGTACAGAGCCAACCGTACTAATCAGAAGTGTGGGGGAAGGACACATGTAGCGTTTTCCTCTATCCTCATCTAACCTGACCCTTTAGTCACGTTTCTCCATTACTTTTCCATTCTTTTTCTTTTTTTCCGATTATTTCGCTCCATACATTACAACCTTCATTGTAGTCCCCTTGCCGTATCACCGGTAGAAAGTTGATAGTTGTTGACTAATTACCAATCGATAAAGTGATTACTTAATTGCGGCTTGTGTTATGGTTAAGCTAAACATGACGATGAAAAGCAACATACCAATGTGCCTCTGAAAGAAGGAAGTTTTTAATCAATGTGTACCATCGGCTTTGATGTACTTCAGATACATGGCTTATAGGGGAAATGCGAGCTCGGAATTACAATGAGAAATGGAGAGGAACACGTGGATTAAAGAACATACACAAATTATAGACATTAAACATTTAAAGAAAAGTAAGTGGGCATGGGTACCACATGTCACTGGAAGCGATGATGACTGATGCTCCAGACTAATGATGGAATGGCAGCCAAGGGTGGAACTTGTCAGAGAGGATGTGCATCTATGACATGACCCGCCCCTATCGGACATCTGTGAAAAAGAGCTTTACAGATCATCAGATACCTGCAGTCTAAAAAAAGCTTGTGATTCTGACGGGCATTGATAAAGACAATTTGGTTAAATTAAGAGATGGAGAAGCGAAATCTTCTCCTTGTGCAGGTGTCAGTTGCAGCAGTTTGTGGAGGCCTTCATCCAGCAGTAGAATGATCGTGGCTGATGTTGAGGAATTGCTTAAGAGCGCTTACAGTATATACACTTGGAGGTTATGCGTACCTCTGTCGCTTTTGAAACTGGCACTGAGCCAGTGTATGTCTTGTCACAATGAACCCTTGACATCCTGCAGGTGGTTTAGTCTGGCTCTCTGCCTCATATGTTATGCTAACGTTGTCCTGCAAGTATCTTTGGTAGTCTGTTCACTGTCGTAATTTTGATGAATTGAAATGTGGCTTATGATATGTGTGTTGATGGCATCACCAGAAATGCCTTATAAAATGTACGAGTTTGACTCTCCTCTAAGGCTTCTCATGTGCATCCCTTCCCAAAAGACACATCCATGCACCCAGACTCACAAAGACATGCAACAATGACAAAGATCTCCTGTATAGCCTTAACAGACTGTTGGGGCAAGTGCTGTGAGCAAGTTTCTATTAAGGCTAGCATAGCACATGAAGGGGTCTTATAGCCAGAAGCATTCCCGGATTACCTTTGTCGCCCCATGTCGATGTTAACACACTGCACCACGTACTCATTTCAGACTGATTTGACCTGTCGAAGCCAAGGACACATCTAGATATCCAGTTTACTTGTCATTGCTGAAAAATTAACTCGGTCGCTGAGTTTCTACCCCAGTGTACAAACCACTGCACCATCACCATACACACACACAGTAACACAATGTACAACAACAACAACCGCCATTCGCCACTAAGTGGTGGTGACATCACCATGATGCTTGTGCCAGGCCATGTGCACATTGAGGCCACACAATGTACACTCACACATCCACATACAAATATACGTACACCACCAAGTTGACACTGCTGAGATCTTGGGTTCGAATCTGGGTAGTTGCCCATGATTGAGAACCGCGTTCTGTAGTGTGGCGAGTTGCTGGCTGGCCTCAGCCCGGTCACCAGTGGCTGTCGACGTGAAATGTAATTGTCTAGATGCTTCTGGATCAAACTGCTGTTGTGTATCGATGTGACGGATGATGATGATGATGATAATGATGGTAGCGATGAGAATGTATGCACGCATTAACGCTCTGTGCCTTGTGCCCTGTCTCAACAGCAAAAACCGCTTGAAGGCTATGTTGGGTTTGCAAACCTACCCAACCAGGTGTACAGAAAATCGGTCAAGCGTGGATTCGAATTCACACTTATGGTTGTCGGTAAGTGGTCTGTCTCTGTGTGACATCCACTCCCTTGGTCTCTCCTTTTCCAAGCCCCTCACCATTTCTCCCATTGCTGATGCCCAAGGCAAGATGCATGAAGCCACATGGTAGCACACTGTGCAATAGGAACGGCGGGGGGGGGAACCCTATGCCCTGTAGGTAGGATATGGCCTGCAACTTCATTTCATGTCGCCTGCTGTACGAGGAGGCCTTAGAGGTCAAGTGTTGGTTGTACAGGAGCCGTGAGATGTAATGGTGGAAAGGATATGATCGGTGTCCAGGTCGCTTCTGAAAAAGAAGCTAATAACTCCGTGGGCTTGTACCTGGTAAAATAAAAATAGTAAAAAAATAATTGTGATTTGCTTACCTTTCCTATACTTTGCACTCCTATGGTGTGTTTTTGTATTGTTTCTTGTAACGTTCTGACCCGCCCCTACTAGAGACCTGTGAAAAAGAGCTTCATAGCTCGTCGGATTCCTCCTGTATACATAAAGAGTTGGATTCTAAGCTATGGTGACATCATTGACTGGCTGTGATGATCTGCTGACCTTGAAGTTTCCACTTTGAGCTCTGCAAGGTTCCATTATGAACCACACATGGGCTCGAGTTTTTTCAATTACGGCAGCATCATAAGCAGAAATAAAATTGCATTGTTTTTGCAATTCATTATAAACGACACTTAACAATTGTACTTGGACCACAGGCTCTGAAATCATCGTTTCAGTGAAGCTCATCCTATGAGACTTCTCCCCATCCTCTTGTGAATTAAAAGCCTCTTGGGAGTTATTCAGAAATGCTTCTCTGTAGGAATCTCTCCACATTAGAATGTGGGACAGGGAATCTACACCTCGTGTGTTACTTGGAGAACCTCGTCAAGGCTTCTCTGACAGAGCTGTCTAGTTAATGCAGAGGTCTGGGGGGTCCCCTGGCTAAATTTAGCATTGAGTTTTGCTCATCCCTGTTTATTGGCCGTGAGCCAGCAATAGACATGTCATGTAATTAATAAAGCAGTTGGTCTCCAACCAGATAGATAAGCTGTATTAAGAGGAGTGCAATAGGATACACGAGCATTATGCAGGCATAACATGAATCCGATAAATATTACAGATAGAAAATAGATATACAGTTGTCCCTCTTCATGGGACCTCCTTTGCCAGTAACAAAATATACTAGTAGGGTTTTTACCATTTTTTGGCAACAAAACTGACACCTTTTGCAAGGAATCATGCTTACATTAACCACAATACTTGCAGTCAAATGCAAACAAAAAACAATACTCCGCGTGCAGAATGTTAACAGGCCGTTAGTCAGAATGTTAACGTTAGTCGAGACCATGGGGTCTGATGGGAGGCCGAACGTTTAACCGATAAAACCGTGAACCGATGTCATTGTTAACCGAGGGACAAGTTTATTTAAAAGAGAGCTATACGAGATAAGAGACTTGTATGTCAGTGGTATCTCCCTTTGGGAGAAACTAACAGGGCAGCTGAAGCAGGGTAACGAACAATAGTTTTTAATTTACAATTGCCTTTTATGGATTTACGAGTCTTCGTGAAGTTAGTGTCCCGGCAATAGGATCTGATGCTGGACCCTCGGATGGTGGATCTGGTGGTTCTGCCTTGTCAACGACGATGACATTTGCAACTTTGTTGGTGGATCAGTGGTGGAATTCCACAATCTTATGACGAGGACCAGTCTACAGAAACACTAATAATAATTAAAACACATTACTGATGTATTATAGTTTAATTTGTTGTCCTTCCCCAGCCCGTGCCGATATTTGATTGGATCAGAGGGGTCCAGTTATTGTTTTTCTTTTGTCGAGCCGCAGACTTTTCGCTCGCCCGGTAGCGCCACCAAGCCTGCCGAGGTGCCCCCCCCCCCCCACCACCGCTGCTCAACAACGCTGCTCAACGATCGTCATCGCTTCTGCAGCGTTGAGGAGTCGGCGGCGACCGTGGCGCAGATCTGTATTTGGGAAATGTTTGGTGGCGGCTCTGTAGAGCTGCTCGGAATGTGCTGTTTACTCGCGAGGCTTGCCGCGGAATGCGAGAGGGGGCAGGGGGGCGGCGGGGGGGGGGGGCGCCTGTGATGTGGGGAGGGCCGCAGGGTCCACCGCTCATTGCCCGCTGCTCCCGTGTATAGGCGCACGCGCATCGCCGGGCCCCACCTGTCCCTGTCGCACAGCGAGTGTCGGGCGGCTATTAATAAGCGATCAACAAAACAGGGTAATGTGAACAAAGGCGGTGGGGGGGGGGCGGAAGCAATTGTCGTGGAAATAACAGCCAAGCAAATAGGTGAATGAATCATTATGATAGTGGTTCTGCTCGTCAGGATATAATTAGCTCCTGTTTGAGACGATCTTTTGCCTTCCACCACCAACCCAGTTTTATTGTTATCGTGGTAGTTGTTTACCCAGAAAAGCCTCGTTGAGTCTGAAGACTATCTTTAAAGAGGATCCAGTCATTGTTTTGGTGCTATATATGGCGGGACCCCCGGGTCCCGAATAAACGGAAGTCAGAATCGTAATCAATTTATTTTTGGCGACTCCGTCCCACCGCGCACATAAACTCCGCGACCCACCAGAAATCAAACCTCTCGTTCTTCACCAAGCACCCGTCGTTGCCAAAATTTCCATAGTCACAAACAAAACTTTGAAACTTTGATTAGCGCATCGTGTAGAGCTCGTCGAGAGGAATAGATCGCCGTATCGTTCGCCTTCAACAAACATAAAATGACTTCGCAACGCAAGTTTATGCGAGAGCCGGTGGCTTATGGGACCCCGGGGTCCCGCCATAAGGTTAAAATGTCCAAATGTTTGCCACTTTGTTGAGCTATCATTTGTGGCTTTTGGCCTGGTAGGAAGGGGATGGTTTAGTTTTATTTGTGTGTGTTAGGTGATTTGTTTACCTTTCTTGTACTTTGCACTCCTATCCTGTTTTGTACTGTTTGTTATTGTAACATTCTTAGCCGCCCCTACTAGACATCTGTGAAAAAGAGCTTTATAGCTCATCGGATTCCTCCTGTATAAATAAATATTCTGATTCTGATGTATTTCACAGTATAGGGTGGCGATGTTCCCATGTGTAATCCCAATTGAGTTATTTGCCGGTAATGTAAAAAAATGTGGACGGTTTTCCCAATACAAGTCACACTGTAAGCATGTTTAGCTACGTCGGTCAACAATATATACAAGAAGCAGAATTTACATGGATAATGCAACGCACATGTGTACTATCCAGATCACTCCTCCCCCACATTACCCCAGATATTGAAGAATTTCGTTGTCTGTATATTTAATCTTTATGGCGGTACCCTGGGGTACCAAATAATACAAAATGGCCGAGGCAATTAAATATTTTATTTCTGGGACACACGCGACTGGAGTACCAATCAATCCGAAATCAGTGCCACTCCGCGATGTCGAAACGCAGCGAGGACGATTGCGCTGAAACCCTGAACGCTCGTATGCACCATAGTGCATCGTGTACAGCTCGTCGAGATGAGTTGATTGCCGCATCCCCGACCATCAACAGACTAAAAATGACTGCAACACAGACATCATGCGATAGCCGGAGTACTATGGTACCCTGGGGTACCGCCATAAGGTTCATTTATAACATCAAAGTGTATTTATTATATTTAAATATACCTTTAAGAATATTGGTTTGGTAATTATCATGGTCCTGAACATACTTTTTGTACCATCCTATTACTGTGTCCTAGAGTTCTGATACTTGTAGTAAACTTTTAAAGCATCTCAATCGATTGCTTGGGTACCACACTCATGTCTCTTGGCAATACTGCGTTAGTGCTAAAGATTTAATGCTCTTATCACATGGGTCAGTCTTTTCATAGCACAACTCCTGTTGACTTCCTGTTAAGGAGCTACTCCTTTTAACGACCCCTGGATGATCGGTACTGTGGTTCAAACGCAAGACTCGCTGTCAGAAGGTTGCAAGTTAACATGTTATAAAAAATATATAAAAAGGTGTCAGTGTTGTTGCCAGATAAAAGGGTAAAAAACAATTATCATATTGCTACTTGCAAAGGAGGTTCCAATGGTGGAGTTAACATGTTGTTGGTCACGTGTCCACTCGGACATTATCAATCGGGAGGTCAATAAACGAGGGCCACTTTGTGGGAAATCAACGGTGGTTGTCATGTGGAGAACTATGCTCCTGCCATGGGATTTTGGAATATCCACCACTTCTGGCTCAGGGTCACCAATAGAGCTGAACACCCGCCCCCACTATCTCCACTGCTCAGTGCCATCTGTTGCCCGTGTCCTCTTATCCCTTTGACAATGGCTTTTCCAGGAACACCGCCATTATCGTCGCATCGGTGATGCTGTAGATAGAGGAATAGTAACGCTCAAGCTACGAGGATTCCGTGCGGTTGTTCAGAGTTGAATTCAGCAGGCCAGCCCATCTGCCTGCCTGCCTGCACTCCCTCCCCTCCCTACAGCTGAGCTACGCTTGTATCTCTGGCAAAGATGCAATACTCAGGGCTTCTATGGTATTGAGCAGAGAGTAACTTGCGTGGCGCACTGACCCGTGCACTTTGGGGAGCGGGGGGTGGGGACCGTGGCCTCGATCTTTTGAGAGCAGAGCACGTGGCAGCTATTTATTTATTTATTGCTCTGCATTACAGCCTCTCGCGTCAGTTTGACGGCAATAGCCTGGTACAGATCTAGGTTGCTCACATGCTGTGCGTTCGACCTGTGAGTTATGCGGCTGCCTGGTTGGTTTCTCCCCACCATTCCATAGCACCCGTTATGCGTACGTGTTAAATCATTCGGGGAATGCGTCTCGGTTCGGCCGCAGGGTGATGTGGTTGGAGTGCACGACCCGTAGTTCTGGAGTAAAAAATTCCATTCAGGCAGCCAGCTTGTCCCTATAATCCCATCCGGGTTACTTCAATGAGGAGAATTTTGGCGGTAGTCAATTGTGGTTGTACTCTATAGATACTAGCCCCTGCCATAAAAATATGGAATT